GGGCCGGCGTGGGCTCCGGCTGCGGGTCCTAAGCCAGGGTCGGGCTTGGGCCTCGGATCCAGTCCTAGGGCAGGTTCGGTCCGGCCCTGGAGCTTGCTAAGTCCCAGGGGCGGGCCGGGGTGGAAGATGGGGAGGGTTCCCTGTCGGGGAAGGGGCTTTGAAGACCACGTGGGGGCGCTCGTAGGGGCCTTGGGCCACCCTCCTCTCTGGGTCAAAGGTCATCGCACCGGCAGGGTAGAACTTCCTCCTCCTTGGCACTCCCCATTCACTTCCTGATAACCTGATAGAGGTCCCCCGCGGGCGGAGGGGGAGGAGAACGCTGCAACTTTAGGCAACTTCCCGTAGGTGTGCACGGGTTGGGGGGCGGGGCGCCCCGGAGGTGGAGGACTCTGCGGCAGCCGAGTGAGCGTGCTGGCGGGTGGGGTGTGGGGGGATGTGCAAGGAGGTGGAGCCGCGCCGGTTGGTGTGCCTTGGAGTGGGCTTGCTGGGACAGGAGGGGGCAGTGTGTCAGGTGTGAAAGATCTGAATGTGTTTCCACGAGGGTCTGTGCCGGTTCGCGTTGGGGGCAGGGGGAGCGTGTAAGAGTGAGTGTGTGATTGAGTCTTGAGTGCGGTTTTGTTGATGAGGTATGCACTTGGGAGGCGTGAGTGAGCGTGAATGAGAACGGGGCTTGGGAAAGGCCCCGTGTGAACGAGCATGCAGGACACCTGAGAACCCAGGTGAGTGGGAGTGTGTGAGGGTGTGAACACACGTGTGTGAGCACATCCCACTGCCCTTGGGTTTGTGTACCTCTGTTTACGCTCTTGAATGGGGGAAGCACAGGTGAGAGGGAGAGCGAAGTCCCTGTCTGGAGAAAATGGAGAGGGTATCCCATTTCTAGTTGAGGATTCCAGATGGAGTTGAAGGTCGCCTGGGGCCAAGGTTACCCTGCCCCCTGGCCTGGGTAGGAGTAGGGGGTTTCTAAGTCTCCTGCAGGTTCCTAAATGGGACCGACTTGCTGTCAGTTACTGGCCCTGGAGGCTCTGGAGACTCTATTCCCATGGCAACAACTGGGGGAGGGGGAGGGGGGGCCTTTTCATGGGCAGCCCTTCCTTGGACTCTGTACCTCCTCCTTCCCCCTCACTGATACTGGAAGCCTGGCCCCAGGCCTGGGGTTGGGCAACCAGGGTGGCAGGGTGTCTCTCCATCCCCCAGCCCAGCACCTCCCTGTGACCTGACAGGCTTCTCCCCACAGGTGACCAGCGCCATGTCCAGCCAGGTGGTGGGCATTGAGCCTCTCTACATCAAGGCAGAACCAGCCAGCCCAGACAGCCCAAAGGGTTCCTCGGAGACCGAGCCCGAGCCCCCTGTAGCCCTGGCCCCTGGCCCAGCTCCCGCTCGCCACCTTCCAGGCCACAAGGAAGAGGAGGATGGGGAGGGGGCTGGGCCTGGTGAGCAGGGTGGTGGGAAGCTGGTGCTCAGCTCCCTGCCTAAACGCCTGTGCCTGGTCTGTGGAGATGTGGCCTCGGGCTACCACTATGGTGTGGCGTCCTGTGAGGCCTGCAAAGCCTTCTTCAAGAGGACCATCCAGGGTGAGCCCCTATCCCCACTTCTGTGCCCTTTGCCCTCTGGGCCTGGCACTACCCAATTGGTGCTCTGCTGAGGGGCACTAGACCCCCCCCAACTACCACTCGGGGTTGGCAGCCTGGGACTCCCAGCCCTCTTACCTCCGATGAATGCGCTTCCCCTTAAAAGTTATATAGAGCCACCAGGATGTGTTGAAAGATTGGATGTGGGATGTGGGCGAGGACTCAGGATGTCTCCTACGCTTCGTTTCTGGGTGTGACAGGCCCAGCACGGTCCACGGTGGCTCTGAAAAACTCGAGATAGCCTCTGCCTGCTCCTAAACTCTGTTCCTGCTTCTGGCAGCTACTGGCTTCTCACTAGCATAGACTACCCCCACTCCCCACCCCTGAAACAGCATCAGCACAGGTTTTTATAGCTGAGAGGACCTAACTTTCCAGAATCAAACCTGGGACCCTTTAGTCCGCAGGCCGACGCTCTATCCACTGAGCCAAACCGGTCAGGGCCAGAACCTAACTTTAAAAAGACTATTAGGCATCCTGCTAATAGTCCTCAGGGGGTTTCTCTCACTCAGGAAAGCATATGAAAATATGAGTGAGCAAGGGGGTGAGGTAATAAGCAGTACTTGAGCTGTGCCTGTTACTTATATTTTTATTTAAACCTCTGGTTGCTTTGGGGCTATAACATGTATAATTTTTTGAGGACATTTCTAGAGTACATTCATGACCTGTTACCCCCACGGCAACCTACAAGGTGCCAGCAATATTGTAACTGAGGCCCAGTGAGGTTTTTAAAACTTTGTCCAAGTCCTAAAGGTAGAACATGGCAGAACTAGGATTTGAACTCGGGTCAGTTCAGGTCCAGGGTCGAGCTCTTAAAAGCCAGGCTGCTGCCTCTGCTTATTACTAATAACTGAACTTTGGACAGGTGCCTCACCAATGATTGTGACATACAGCCATTTTGGCTTTGCCATTGCCAACACCCATGGGTCTAAAGCCTCTGTGCTCCCTTTGTCTCTGCAGCCCAGCGAGCCAAGAGGTTCAGACCCAGGTGTCTCCTGCCCACCCTGGGACCCTTCATTCTCTGCTGATTCAGTTGACAAATATTTATTGAGCCTGAGCCATAAATAATAATCACTTATTGATATTTAGGTGTTAGGAACCATGATAAATGTGGTACTTCAGTTACCCCCCTTGAATTCTTACAACTCACCTTTATAAGAAGTACTGTTTCTATCACCCCAGTTTTACAGATGAGAACACTGAGGCTTCGAGGGCTTGTTCAAGGTCACACAGTTGGTATATGGAAGTGTCGGGATAGGCCCCAGGCAGCTGCCAGAGCCTTGACAAACCGGTGCTTTGCTGCCCTGGTCACTGTTCCAGACATGGGGACGTAGGCAGGACTCAAACACTTTACATTCTAGCAGAGGGGAGAGGGAACAATGAATTGCACACAGTTGTTATAGTACAGCTGTGTGAGTGCTGAAGAGCTAGGAGCAGGGCGTGTACCAAGGAACCTGGCTGGGGCCTGGCCGGCGTGGCTCAGTGGTTGAGCGTCGACCTATGAACCAGGAGGTCATGGTTCGATTCCCAGTCAGGGCACATGCCCAGGTTGTGGGCTCGATCCCCAGTATGGGGCGTGCAAGAGGCAGCCGATCTATGATTCTCTCTCATCATTGATGTTTTTGTCTCCCTCTCCTTCTCCCTTCCTCTCTGAAATTGAGGGCTTCCCTGGGGAGGTGTCTTGAGCTGAGAGTGGAAGCCTGGGTAGGGTGTAGGAGAAACATGCGAAGGGCATATTGGCTGGTTGTGTCATTCAGCCCTTGAAGTAGTCCTGCGAGGTTGGGAGGGTTGCTGTCATGCACCAGTTATGAGTGCCCACTAAGTGCAGGCCTTTCCTTTCACGGGGACAGTCCTGGCCCCCATGGAGCTCACACTAAGGTCAGGAGACAGATGATAAAGAAGATAGATATGTACATAGGTAGCATACTCGATGGTGTGGAGAGCTGATGAGAAACTACCCAGCAGCGGCAAGCACCAGAGATGTCCACAGAGGGGCCATGTGGCACCCTCCTCACCCCTCGCAGGGTGGCCAGGGAAGGAGAAAGGGAGCTGTGGGCCCTGAGTTAGGGGCCTGGAGCCAGAACAGAGTACGAGGAGGAAGAGGTCAGAGGGGTGAGGAGCAGGGGTGCAGGCCTGAGGCCGCAGGGTTCACTGGGCTTTTACTCTGAGAAGGGAAGTCACTGGAGGGCTATGAGCAGGGGAGGGACAGGATCTAACTCAGGTTTAATAAGGTGCCGCTGGCTGTCCTGTGGAGAGTAACGGAAACAGGCAAGGGCAGAGCAGGAGGCCATATTGGGAGGTATAGCCCACCAGGATCAGCTGATGGCTTGGATTTGGGGTGGGAGACAGAATGAGCGATGTCTCCCAGGTGTCTGCGTGAGCAGCTGATGGATGGAGTTGCAGGTTTTGGAGGGGTAACTCGTGGGCTTCCTTTAGGACAGGTTAGGTTTGTGTGGCCTTGAAGACAGACATGCAAGGTGTCGAGGAGGCAGTGGGATGTGGGTCTAGCGTTTAGGCAGGTCTAGGCAGGAGATAGACATTTGAAAGCCCACGACTTAGGTACGATCAGCATGGGAATGAGCCAGTGGAGATGAGGTCTGAGGGCAGCCCTGAGGCTCTTCAGTGGAAGGAGCACAGGGAGATGCAGAGACCACAAAGTGGCGAGTGAGGTGGGATGAAAGCCAGGAGTGAGTCCTAACAGCAAAAGAAGAGAAGTGTTTCAGAGTTCCTAGGTGTGATGCCACGGCCCCCGTGGCCTGGGTTCAAAGGCCTGGAGAAAGGGCTGACGCGCAAATTACTACACAAGACAAGAAATATAAATTTGGGAATTATGGGGGAAGCCAGATGTGAACTTAGTTCAGGTGACTGAGCTCCACTGAATCTCCGCGCCCACCCCCTTTTCATTCACTAGAATACACAATTGCCTTTTGGGAATGCAAACAGGCACCTCAAAGGTAATGTTTAGTAAACAGTGAAAGAGTATCAGGTTAGGGGGGTTGCCTTCCGGCCATTAAGTCAGCAGCAGGTAATAACATGCAGATGTTTAGCCTTCTGAATATCAAAGCCCTATTCAGCCTTCTGACCATTGCCTTCCAGCACTAGGAGGCGTTAGATACTCCTTTAGGCCATGGAAGATGAAGATGAGAATTGCCCATTAGAGGCAGCAGTGGAGAGGCCATTGTAAGCCTTGAAGAGAGCAGATGAGGGCAGGAGAGCCCAGAGATGTGGCTTGACAGGAGACTTGGGGCAGATGCAGCCTGACTCCCCTGGTCCCAGCCCTTCTTTTGCCCAGACAGGGGCCCCCAGCCCAGCAGCCATTCTCCTCACTGCCCCGGGCTTCCCTGCCCCACTCACGGCACTCCTGCTCTCCCCAGACCTGTGCTTGCCCGGGGAGTCAGGGCTCTCCTGTCTGCTGGGCCTCCTCCAGGCCCTGGGAGGCCGCCACTGGAGCCCTGCCTCTTCCTGGCAGGGAGCATCGAGTACAGCTGTCCGGCTTCCAATGAGTGTGAGATCACCAAGCGGAGACGCAAGGCCTGCCAGGCCTGTCGCTTCACCAAGTGCCTGCGGGTGGGCATGCTCAAAGAAGGTGAGTACTGGGCAGGAGCCTTGGCAAGGGTTGGGGGAGCTGGGCGCATGGGGCTGGAGAGGGCAAAGCCTGAGACGTTCTGGTGGAATGGATTGGGCAGGAGGGCTCTGTAGAGCAAGCCACCCCCAGTCTCTAGGACACAGCCCTGTCCTACAATTCAAGGGGTACGTCTGGACCGTGTCCGGGGTGGGCGACAGAAGTACAAGCGGCGACCAGAGGTGGATCCACTGCCCTTCCCAGGCCCCTTCCCTGCCGGACCCCTGGCAGTAGCTGGAGGCCCTCGGAAGACAGGTGAGAGTCTGTGGGTTCTTGGAGCTCTAGGGTCGGGATTGGGCTAGGACGCGAGAGGCCTGTCCGGTGTCGTTCACTGAGGATAGTATTTTGGGCACTGGGACCCCACTTTTCCCTTCATCTGTTCACTTATCCATTTCCCCGCAAAAGACCTTTCTCTGTCAGTCCCGAGTAGTACAGCTGGGAACAGGGAAAGGTTTCCTAACACTCGGAACCTGTTCACCACAGACTGACTGCCCTGGGAGTTAGGCAGAGCCCTTCCTGGAGAAAGGTGTCAGCCTGATGACCAGTGGCTGCGGAGGAAAGCCACGGGGGGACTGACTCTGGGAGATGTTTGACTCCAAAGGGCCTGCAAAGTGATGAATTCCAGTGCCTCTTCCAACTGTCACTGCAGCCCCAGTGAATGCACTGGTGTCCCACCTGCTGGTGGTAGAGCCTGAGAAGCTGTATGCCATGCCCGACCCAGCGGGCCCTGACGGACACCTCCCCGCAGTGGCCACCCTCTGTGACCTCTTTGACCGAGAGATTGTGGTCACCATCAGCTGGGCCAAGAGCATCCCAGGTAAAGGGCCAGGTGATGCGGGCTCCCTTGGGTAGGCCAGCCAGGCCTGGCCCTGGTGCACCTGCTGAGCCAGGTGTGCTCCCCACGGTCCTCCAGGCTTCTCGTCACTGTCCCTGTCGGACCAGATGTCAGTACTGCAGAGCGTATGGATGGAGGTACTGGTGCTGGGTGTGGCCCAGCGTTCGCTGCCGCTGCAGGACGAGCTGGCCTTCGCTGAGGACCTGGTCCTGGATGAAGAGGGGGCACGAGCAGCTGGCCTGGGCGAACTCGGGGCTGCCCTGCTGCAGCTAGTGCGGCTCTGAAGGCCCTGGCCCTTGCCAACTCAGGTGAGTCTGGGTAGGTCCTGACGAGTCTCCAGAAGGTCCTCCATTACCCTAACGGTGGCACGGTCCCATTTTGCAGACAAGGAAATAGGCATAGGAAAAACAGTGACTTGTTGAAAGCCACTAAGCAAGGCAAGCGCAGGCCAGGAACTGCACCTAGGACTTTGAACCCTAGTGCCATACTTACTGGAAAGGTGAACCACTGAGCGGGAGGGGAGTAGGGGGGACAAGAGGGCACCCTCGTTGAGAAAGGGTGGGCCCTGGCTCGTGGGCAGGAGCAGTGAGTGTTGCCTCAGTCAGTCAATGAACAGATCTGTGTCTGGCTCATGTGTAGGCTCCATCCCTCAGTGCCCAAGCAGAGGCGGGCTCTCTCCTTCCCGGAGACGGTCCACGTCAACAGCTCTCCCCCACTCCTTGCAGACTCTGTGCACATTGAAGATGCGGAGGCTGTGGAGCAGCTGCGAGAAGCCCTCCACGAGGCCCTGCTGGAGTACGAAGCAGGCCGGGCGGGCCCCGGAGGGGGTGCTGAGAGGCGGCGGGCAGGCAGGCTGCTGCTTACACTACCACTCCTCCGCCAGACAGCGGGCAAAGTGCTGGCCCATTTCTATGGGGTGAAGCTGGAGGGCAAGGTGCCCATGCACAAGTTGTTCTTGGAGATGCTCGAGGCCATGATGGACTGAGGCAAGGGGTGGGCATGGGTGGGGGTGCTGGCAGGACCCGCCCAGCATGGGGTCAGCCCCAAGGGGGCAGAGCTGGGGTCGACAGTGCCACAGCCTGCTGGCAGGGCCAAGGCAATACCATCAGTCCCTGGGAGCAGGCCCACGCCCTCCCCTCCCCCTTCTTCGGGGGTGTTAGAAGCTGGGAACACGTGTGCCCAGGCTCTGGGCACAGTGCTGCCCCTTGCAAGCCATAAGGTGCCCCCAGCGTGCAGGGGGTGCTGTGGAAGCCATAGGGGGCTGCAGGGGATGTTGGGGGAGGGGGGCAGAAGCCTGATCTCAGGGAGGGAAGGGAGTGGAGGCCACAGTCTCCCAATGGGTGATGCTTTTGCTGCTGCTTAATCCGACCCCCTCTCCAGAGCAGAGGGAAATGTGGAGAGCAAAGGCCCCTGCCCCCTTGGCTCCTCTCATCATTTGCATTGGGCATTCTGCCCCCCCCCCAAGCAATAACTCCAAGCAGGCTCCAGCCCCTGGACCCCTGGGGTGGCCAGGGTCCCCCATCAGCTCCCACCCAGGCTCCTCAGGAGGTAGGGAGAGCACTGCCTCTATGCCCTGCAGAGCAATAACACTATATTTATTTTTGGGTTTGGCCAGGGAGGCGCAGGGACATGGGGCAAGCCAGGGCCCAGAGCCCTTGGCTGTACAGAGACTCTATTTTAATGTATATTTGTTGCAAAGAGAAACCGCTTTTGGTTTTGAACCTTTAATGAGAAAAAAATATATATCGAGCTCAAGAACACTGTGTGGCGTGTCACTGGGTCAAGAGCTGGGAATACACGTCACAAAACTAACCGACAGGATATACATAAAAACACACACGGTCACAGCATGAGAAACGAATGCCTGGCACGATTACGTCTCGGTTTCCTCCTCATTCAGCAGCATGTTGGGGATTCCGCGGGTGATGGGGAACACACGTCCGGACTCTGGGCACTGCAGGGTGCCCTCCACCACCTCCACCTGCGGGGAAGCGGGGCAGAGCTGAGCACTGGCAGCCTCCGGGTCTGGCTGTGCCGCCAGGAAGCAGGTGACAGCCGGGCCTCACCTCCAGCAGCACGTGGTGCATCTTCCTCAGAAACGTCTCATCCTGCTCATACCCCTGAGTCGGCCCTTTGGGCACCTCGGCCAGACGCAACTGTGGGCAAGAGGCCTAAATTACCTCTGGGCATCCCCAACCCTGGCCAGGGGCAAAGGGCTGGGGGATGGCCCTCACGTGATCGGCCGCCTCCAAAAGCGCCGCCCACTCCACTTTGGGTATCATCCGAGCCACGAAGTCCGGGTTGAACTCCACCGGGATGACGCGGACCTCGGTAGCCTGCAGGGCGGAGGGGTTCGGTTGGGCAGGGATCCGAGCCTGGTTCCCCGATCCCTCCCGGGAGACCGGCGCCCCAGCGTCCCCCGTGCGGTACCTCGAGACGCAGCGGGAATCCACGGGGTCCCACCCCTCGCACGTGCGAGCTCAGCAAATTGTGGGTAAGCAGCTTCATGTCGCCGCAACACTCTCTCGCCGGCCGGAACCGGAAGAAGACAGGCACTCGGCTGCGTCACTTCCAGGGCCGCCCCGCTCCCTATCCTATTGCAGGGCCGGGAGGAGCGGAAGCGGCCGAAGTTGCTGGAACTTCTGGTGCTCGCGGCAGGGCAGGTCCTGCCAAGGCTTCCTCGCGTCCCGCGTGGCTACCGGAAGCATCCCGGCGGAGGTTGCCTCGGGCTGGCCCGGTGGTTTTGACTGAGCCAAAGCTCCACTCGCTGCAGATCATGTTCAGTGCTGGTCGTACGGAAGAAAGTCGCAATGCGGGGCCTTCGTTGAATGCGAAATGAGCGCGGAGCCGTCGGCGCCCGGAACCATCGGTGCCCGGAACCGTTGGCGCCTGCCCCTCGCTTTCGGTTAAGGAACGGTCACCCTGCCCCAGTCCGTTACTTAGGCGCGTCAAAACAACGTCGCCCCTCCTCGTATGCAAATAAGGCACCCACTGCCGAAGGCTCCGCCCACCCGTCCAGCCCCAAATGCAAATAAGCCCGTCCTGCCAGCTCCGCCCCCAGTGCCCGCCCCCGCCCGCACTTTGGAGGCGGCCCACCCCGCGGCGGCCCGAGGCCCCGCCTTTTGCAGGTTCCACTGCGGCACCGCGATCCAGGCCCGGCCTCCCGCGGCCGCTCGCGGGCGGGGACGGGGGCGGAGGCGGGGGCGGTGCAGGGGCGGTGCAGGGCTGTTGTGGCCTCAATACCAGGTGTGGGGCCGACCGGGATGTGCATCTTGGGCCGTCTTT